GTTGCATCTACTCCTTGGATGTCGTTAATTGGATAAAGGAAGCTCCTCCTATTTGTTGAATTTGCTCCTTAGGCGTCGTTGATTGGATACAGGAAGCTCCTCCTATTTGTTGAATCTGCTCCTTGGGTGTCGTTGATTGGATATAGGAAGCTCCTCCTATTTGTTGAATCTGCTCCTTGGGTGTCGTTGATTGGATACAGGAAGCTCCTCCTATTTGTTGAATCTGCTCCTTGGGTGTCGTTGATTGGATACAGGAAGCTCCTTCTGTGTGTTGATGTTTTTCCCAGGTTGTCGTAGATTGGTTTCAGAAAGCTCCTCCTATTTGTTACTCCTCCTCCTTGCGTGTCGTTGATAAAATACGAGAAGCTCCTCCCATTTTTGTTGCTGCTCCCTGAGCATCGTTGATTAGATAGACTAAGCTCTTAATATTTATTGTTGCTGCCTCCTGGGCGTCGTTGATTGGATACAGGTAGCTCCTCCTATTTATTGCAACTGCTCCTTGGGTGCCGTTTTTTTTTGGATATAGGAAACTCCTGTCAGAACAGACACTACACTTTGGTCTTATTATTTATTTGCACAAAAAGGTACAAACTATGCCGCAAGGGCTTAAAAGTGGTTGATGGAGAAGACTGGTTTTTTCTAGTCTTTAGTTATTAACCTGACTAGTGTCACTCGTTGACCCATTCGTACATACAATTTTCTTTTCACTAATACATAACATTTGCTCTTAGCAATCGCACCACAGTTACAAAAATAACTAGCATGAAATTCTGTTTGAAGAATTCTTGGGGAAGGGTTAATGATAATAACCTAAGGAATTTATACAATGAAAATTATATGGACAAGAAACTCTTATTCAAAAGGCCGAGAAGCGAAGGCAATAGTGATAAAACCGACATTTTTCAGACGGACAAAATCGTACGACGGGAACCGAGTAAGGCAATCGCTAAAAATCCAGTTACAATAAGATATCATCGTCTGCTGAACTATTTTTCTAAATTATTAAGAGAAACGTTTGCTAGAAAGAAAGAAAGAAAGAAAGAAAGAAAGAAAGAAAGAAGTGAAGATAAAAGTGGAGAGTGAGAGAAAATCAGATTAAGAACAGATACTACACTTTGCAAGAAAGCTGAAAAATAAATAAATCACCGTTTTGCAGAGGCACAGTATCGAAAAAGTGAATCCGAGTAAGGCAATCGGCAAAAATCCAGTTACCATAAATAAAATAACATCATCTGCTGAATTATTTCTAAATTATTATTAAAGGAAATGTTCGTAAGAAAGTAATAAACAAAGAAGTGGAGATATATGTAAAGAGAGAGAATCAAATTAACCTGAAAAGAACAGATGCTACACTTTGATCTCAAAGTCAAGAAACAATGGCAACTGCGATAAAAACGTCATTTTTCAGATGCACAGTATCAAACGCCGGAAACCGAGTCAGGCAATCGCCAAAAGTCTAATTACCATGAATAATATAATGTCGTCTGTTGAATTATTTCTAATATATTATTAAGAGAAATGTTCATAGGATAAAAATAATTTACTGTTAATCCTTTTTTCAAATTAATTCTCTTTTCTTTTGAGATTATTATATGCTAAATTTTTCTATGGAGTCATGGATCATCTGAACGTACCTCCATGTTAATATAAATCCTGTGTTCTCTATATACTAATTACGTTTTAACTACTGCATCATCTGACAATTTTAGGTATGTCTGTTGTACTCATTAACGTACTGAGAATTTTGGATCAAACACTTTATTCAATCCACATGGAGAGCGGTTGTTCTCATTTTGCTTTCCACGTGAAGGGATGTTGTACTTCTACAGAGGAACCTTCTACCGTATACACTCGTGTATAAGTCGACTTCATGTCTAGTGCGAGCCCTAATTGTTTTTGCATTATAACCCAGAAAAGAAATTACCTATATATAGTTCAACCGGTCACTGAAAATGCATGATTTAAAAAAAAAATACCCGTGTATGGTGTGACCCCCTATTTTTTGTGTAAAAAACTAATCATGAAAACTCACACTATACTCGAGTTTAAACGATATGCCACGGAAAATGCTTTCCCGAAAACCATGCTGAACAAAACCCAATAAACAACAGGTTGAAATTTAATGAAATATTCGCCCCATAAAAACGGACTAAATGTTTTTAAAAACTATTCGTTAACAGCAGAGACCAAGTCCAAATATTTTTCTGAAGAAAAACAAATACTACTTACTGATTGGCTGAAGAGGACACAACCCCATTAGAACTGTTATCCTATGTATAGACGAAAGAAAGGAGGGGGAGTTACTAATTAATTAATTTATTCCTTTTTTGAGAGTATGGATTTTTAAAGACGACTAGAAACTGCCGCGACTACGTATCTCCACTACAACCAATCCTGATGCTACTACGTATATCCACTACAGCCAATCCTGATGCTACTATGTATCTCCACTACAAACAATCCTGACGCTACTACGTATCTCCACTACAGCGAATCATGACGGTGTCCTGGTCTTAAACACGCTACACATACTTAAGGGAGATCTGTGTCCCTCGACGTGGTGTAATAGCAAGCTTGCCTCACTAGAATAATTACGACTGATTCGTGAGTTCGATCTTTACTGGGCGCCCCATACTTTCGGCCTTGTGCCGCATAAAAGGTACACTTAGAAAAATCACCTTACTTGAGGAACATCTTTTTGTCAGTTGTATGAATGACTATAGCTGATCTTACCATGCTGTGTGTGTAGCATCCGTTGGTCTCGAGAAATTCCATGGATCTGCGCCCAAAGATGGCGCTGCATTTGTTATAGGTGTACATGACCACACCGGACCGGAGTGACAGTTTCGTTCGATTGCAACGAATGAGGTCGTTGTGATGTTTTCTTTCCGTCGAGCACGCTTCTCCCCAGCGCCAAGCCGTTCCTCCTCTCCTCGCTCCAACCCTCGGTGTAAATCGAATCTCCAGCGTGAACGGTCGTTGGCGACGACTTCCTAACTCTCGATTTCATGCCCTCTTGTTCCTTTCGCAGACATCCTTAAAGCGTCGTGCGCTTTTGCCGGGGGCAGTTCCTCGTACATAAGGACCTTTCTTTCCGTCGAGCACGCTTCCTCCTCTCGAACCCTCGGTGTAAACCACGTCTCCAGCGTGAAAGATCGTTGGCGACGCGACGACTTCTTAACTCTCGATGTCATGTTTGTCGCCCTCTTGTTACTTTCGCAGACATCCTTAAAGCGTCGTGCATTTTTTGCCGGGGGGGGGTGCAGTTCCCCGTACATAAGGACCTTCGGAATGTACCCATCCTGTTTTCATATCCATGCCAGTAGAGTCGGCACTGTTAGAGAAGGGCGTATAGGTTGGGTATCTGGGCAAAGATGAGAACTACAGCATAAGTGACCCGGTCGTACCTATTGATGCCAAGAATGTGTCTCAGACAACGAAGATGAAAGGCGCCGAGGCGTCGCTTCTGTCTGAAATAGAGGCCACAAGTCTCGCTGCCTGAGAGCAGCATGCTGACGACGCATACCCTATAGATTGCAATTCTGGTATTCTTAGGAATGTTTCTGATCTCCCAGACTCTCGAGGTCAGCTTGGCGAACGTGGTGTCAGCTCGTTCGATGCATCGGTGTCTAGGGAGAGGGTGTCTGAAACAGTGGAACCGTGGCATGTTAAAGTTGTTAATTTTCATGGCGGGAGGCTGTTCAACGCCTCAGCCCATTATGCTGGCCCTCTTCAGACTGATGCATCATTTGCGAACAGTATGTCTCTAATGAACACATCACGGACTTTGGATTCCATCTGTTCTTGTAGTCGCCGTTGGTTTCAGTTGAAGCCGCGAAATCACATTTCAGTATGACCGCGAAAAAGATGCTGAGTAAGGTCGGTGCAAGCACATAACTCTGCTCCACACCACTGCGGATACTGAAAGCCTCTGAATAAGTATCGCCAAATTGTACGACGTCCTTCATATTCACATGAAACGACTGGTCAATATTGAGGAGTCTCTGAGGGCAACCGATTCTGTCGAGTTTCTTGAACAAGCCATCCTTGCTCATAAGATCAAATGCTTTTGTGAGGTCGATGAAGACAATGTAAATTGGTTGTCTCTGTTCTTGGTCTATCTCCTGTAGTTGACGAAGTGAGAAGATATCAATCATGGAAGGCTCTGATCTGAAACCACACTGGAATTTGGGATACACCATCTCAGCGAGCTTCGGTAGTCTACACGGATAAAGACATTCCCTCGGCTTTCCTCTGCATTCGACTTGATTGCTTTCTTTAATAGTCTTAATTCTGATTCATAATAGTGTACAGTAATAGTTTTCCCCACGCCTTCAGAATGAAAGAAAAATGCAGAAGCCATCATCTTGCCAACAGATACTACCTTCTTGAACTTCTTCGAGGGTGGAGAACCTGAATGTCTCCACAGTTTCCTTTGAATATTTGATTCAGATTCGAAGGGGTGAATCCAGGTTTCATCTAGAGTAACTAATCTGGAGTGAAAATTCTCAGGATCAACCTGGAAACGAGTCAGAAATATCCCGAACGTATATGCTGATGACGCATAGTGCGTGAAGGATACAAAGTTTTGAGCAGTCGTTGGCATTGTCATTCAATTTACCAACTCCATGCTCCCCACCAGACAGCTAGGCCATGAGTCGGGATCAGCATTATTAGTATTAGAAAGATTTTCTCTTTCGGAATGGTCTGTATCTTCTTTAATAGTTGATCATACAACTCATCTTGACGTCTCCTGAAGAGTACAGGTTTGGGGCGTAAGCGCTGAAAAGGTTTGACAGTTCCATGCAGTCGAAGTGAATAGATTAACTCCGATCCATTCTTGCTGAGTTCCACCAACTTCAACAATGAGCTTTTCACGGCAAAGACAACGCAGAACTCCCTGACATCGTCCTTGCCTTTTCAACACCAGAAGAAAGTGTACTCTCTTCCTGACGAAAGATTACCGACTGTGGAAGCCGCGTGTCTCTTGAAGCGCTGCAATGTCCATTCGAACCCGAAATAGTTCGTTGGTAATCACTTGCTCTTTGACATCGTCCTTGCATTTTCCCCGCCAGAAGAAAGTGTACTCTCTCACTCACGAAAGATTCCCGACTGTGGAAGCCGAATGTCTCTTGAAGCGCTGCAATGTCCATTCGAAGCCGAAATAGTTCGTTGTTAATCACGTGCTCTTTGACATCGTCCTTGTCTTTTCCCCGCCAGAAGAAAGTGTACTCACTCCCTCACAAAACATTCCCGACTGTGGAAGCCGCGTGTCTCTTGAAGCGCTGCAATGTCCATTCGAACCCGAAATAGTTCGTTGTTAATCACTTGCTCTTTGACATCGTCCTTGCCTTTACCCCGCCAGAAGAAAGTGTACACTCTCGCTCACGACAGATTCCCGATTGTGGAAGCTGCGTGTCTCTTGAAGCGCTGCAATGTCTATTCGAATCCGAAATAGTTCGTTGTTAATCACTTGCTCTTTGACATCGTCCTTGCCTTTACCCCGCCAGAAGAAAGAGTACTCTCTCGCTCACGAATGATACCGGACTGTGGAAGCCGCGTGTCTCTTGAAGCGCAGCAATGTCCATTCGAAGCCGAAATAGTTCATTGTTAATCACTTGCTCTTTGACATCGTCCTTGCCTTTTCCCCGCCAGAAGAAAGTGTACTCTCTCCTTCACGAAAGATTCCTGATTGTGGTAGCCGCGTGTCTCTTGAAGCGCTGTAATGTCCATTCGAACCCGAAATAGTTCGTTGTTAATCACTTGCTCTTTGACATTGTCCTTGCCTTTTCCCGCCAGAAGAAAGTGTACTCTCTCCCTCACGAAAGATTCCAGACTGTGGAAGCCGCGTGTCTATTGAATCGCTGCAATGTCCATTCGAAGCCGAAATAGTTCGTTGTTAATCACTTGCTCTTTAACATCGTCCATGCCTTTTCCCCGCCAGAAGAAAATGTATTCTCTTCCTCACGAAAGATTCCAGACTGTGGAAGCCGCATGTCTCTTGAAGCGCTGCAATGTCCATTCGAAGCCGAAATAGTTCGTTGTTAATCACGTGCTCTTTGACATCGTCCTTGTCTTTTCCCCGCCAGAAGAAAGTGTACTCACTCCCTCACAAAACATTCCCGACTGTGGAAGCCGCGTGTCTCTTGAAGCGCTGCAATGTCCATTCGAACCCGAAATAGTTCGTTGTTAATCACTTGCTCTTTGACATTGTCCTTGCCTTTTCCCGCCAGAAGAAAGTGTACTCTCTCCCTCACGAAAGATTCCAGACTGTGGAAGCCGCGTGTCTATTGAATCGCTGCAATGTCCATTCGAAGCCGAAATAGTTCGTTGTTAATCACTTGCTCTTTAACATCGTCCATGCCTTTTCCCCGCCAGAAGAAAATGTATTCTCTTCCTCACGAAAGATTCCAGACTGTGGAAGCCGCATGTCTCTTGAAGCGCTGCAATGTCCATTCGAAGCCGAAATAGTTCGTTTTTAATCACTTGCTCTTTGACATCGTCCTTGTCTTTTCCCCGCCAGAAGGAAGTGAACTCACTCCCTCACAAAACATTCCCGACTGGGGAAGCCGCGCGTCTCTTGAAGCTCTGCAATCTCCATTCGAAGCCGAAGTAGTTCATTGTTCATCACTTCCTCTTTGACATCGTCCTTGCCTTTTCCCCGCCAGAAGAAAGTGTACTCTCTCCTTCACGAAAGATTCCTGATTGTGGTAGCCGCGTGTCTCTTGAAGCGCTGTAATGTCCATTCGAACCCGAAATAGTTCGTTGTTAATCACTTGCTCTTTGACATTGTCCTTGCCTTTTCCCGCCAGAAGAAAGTGTACTCTCTCCCTCACGAAAGATTCCAGACTGTGGAAGCCGCGTGTCTATTGAATCGCTGCAATGTCCATTCGAAGCCGAAATAGTTCGTTGTTAATCACTTGCTCTTTAACATCGTCCATGCCTTTTCCCCGCCAGAAGAAAATGTATTCTCTTCCTCACGAAAGATTCCAGACTGTGGAAGCCGCATGTCTCTTGAAGCGCTGCAATGTCCATTCGAAGCCGAAATAGTTCGTTTTTAATCACTTGCTCTTTGACATCGTCCTTGTCTTTTCCCCGCCAGAAGGAAGTGTACTCACTCCCTCACAAAACATTCCCGACTGGGGAAGCCGCGTGTCTCTTGAAGCGCTGCAATCTCCATTCGAAGCCGAGGTAGTTCATTGTTAATCACTTCCTCTTTGACATCGTCCTTGCCTTTTCCCCGCCAGAAGAAAGTGTACTCTCTGCCTCACGAAAGATTCCCGACTGTGGAAGCCGCGTGTCTCTTGAAGCGCTGCAATGTCCATCCGAAGCCGAAGTAGTTCGTTGTTAATCACTTGCTTTTTGACATCGTCCTAACCTTTTCCAGCCAGAAGAAAGTGTACTCTCCCACTCACTAAAGATTCCCGACTGTGGGAGCTGCATGTCTCTTGAAGCGCAGCAATGTCCATTCGAAGCCGAAATAGTTCGTTGTTAATCGCTTGCTCTTTGACATTGTCCTTGCCTTTTCCCCGCCAGAAGAAAGAGTACTCTCTCCATCACGAAAGATTCCCGACTGTGGAAGCCGCGTGCCTCTTGAAGCGCTGCAGGGTCCAATCGAAGCCGAAATAGTTCGTTGTTAATCACTTGCTCTATGACATCGTCCTTGTCTTTTCCCCGCCAGAAGAAAGTGTACTCACTCCATCACAAAACATACCCGACTGTGGAAGCCGCGTGTCTCATGAAGCGCTGCAATGTCCATTCGAAGCAGAAATAGTTCGTTGTTAATTAATTGCTCTTTGACATCGTCCTTGCCTTTTCCCCGCCAGAAGAAAGTGTACTCTCTCCCTCACGAAAGATTCCCGACTGTGGAAGCCGCGTGTCTCTTGAAGCGCTGCAATGTCCATCCGAAGCCGAAGTGGTTAGTTGTCAATTACTTGCTCTTTGACATCGTCCTAGCCTTTTCCCGCCAGAAGAAAGAGTACTCTCTCCCTCACTAAAGATTCCCGACTGTGGAAGCCGCATGTCTCTAGAAGCGCAGCAATGTCCATTCGAACCCGAAATTGTTCGTTGTTAATCACTTGCTCTTTGACATGGTCCTTGCCTTTTCCCCGCCAGAAGAAAGAGTACTTTCTCCCTCACGAAAGATTCCCGACTGTGGAAGCCGCGTGTCTCTTGAAGCGCTGCAGGGTCCAATCGAAGCCGAAAAAGTTCGTTGTTAATCACTTGCTCTTTGAAATCGTCCTTGCTTTTCCCCGCCAGAAGAAAGTGTACTCTCTCCCTCACGAAAGATTCCCGACTGTGGAAGCCGCGTGACTCTTAAAGCGCTGCAATGTCCATCCGAAGCCGAAATAGTTCGTTGTTAATCACTTGCATTTTGACATCGTCCTTGCCTATTCCCACCAGAAGAAAGTGTACTCTCTCCCTCACTAAAGATTCCCGACTGTGAAAGCCGCATGTCTCTTGAAGCGCTGCAATGTCCATTCGAAGCCGAAATAGTTCGTTTTTAATCACTTGCTCTTTGACATCGTCCTTGCCTTTTCCCGCCAGAAGAAAGTGTACTCTCTCCCTCATGAAAGATTCCCGACTGTGGAAGCCGTGTGTCTCTTGAAGCGCTGCAATCTCCATCCGAAGCCGAAATAGTTCGTTGTTAATCACTTGCTCGTTGACATCGTCCTTCCCGTTTCCCCGCCAAAAGAAAGTGTACTCTCTCCCTCATGAAAGATTCCCAACTGTGGAAGCCGCATGTCTCTTGAAGTGCTGCAATGTCCATTCGAAGCCGAAGTAGTTAGTTGTTAATCACTTGCTCTTTGACATCGTCCTTGCCTTTTCCCGCCAGAAGAAAAAGTACTCTCTCCCTCACTAAAGATTCCCGACTGTGGAAGCCGCATGTCTCTAGAAGCGCAGCAATGTCCATTCGAAGCCGAAGTAGTTCATTGTTAATCACTTGCTCTTTGGCATCGTCCTTGCCTTTTCCCCGCCAGAAGAAAGTGTACGCTCTCCCTCACAAAAGATCCCCGACTGTGGAAGCCGCGTGTCTCTTGAAGCGATGCAATGTCCATCCGAAGCCGAAGTAGTTCGTTGTTAATCACTTGCTCTTTGACATTGTCCTTGCCTTTTCCCGCCAGAAGAAAGTGTACTCTCTCCCTCACAAAAGATTCCCGACTGTTGAAACCGCGTGTCTATTGAATCGCTGCAATGTCCATTCGAAGCCAAAATAGTTCGTTGTTAATCACTTGCTCTTTGACATCGTCCTTGCCTTTTCCCGACAGAAGAAAGTGTATTCTCTCCCTCACGAAAGATTCCCGACTGTGGAAGCTGCATGTCTCTTGAAGCGCTGCAATGTCCATTCGAAGCCGAAATAGTTCGTTGTTAATCATTTGCTCTATGACATTGTCCTTGTCTTTTCCCCGCCAGAGAAAAGTGTACTCACTCCCTCACAAAACATACCCGACTGTGGAAGCCGCGTGTCTCTTGAAGCTCTGCAATCTCCATTCGAAGCCGAAGTAGTTCATTGTTAATCATTCCTCTTTGACATCGTCCTTGCCTTTTCCCCGCCAGAAGTAAGTGTCCTCTCTCCCTCACGAAAGATTCCCGACTGTGGAAGCCGCGTGTCTCTTGAAGCGCTACAATGTCCATTCGAACCCGAAATAGTTCGTTGTTAATCATTTGCTCTTTGACATCATCCTTGCATTTTCCCGCCAGAAGAAAGTGTACACTCTCCCTCATGAAAGATTCCCGACTGTGGAAGCCGCATGTCTCTTGAAGCGCTGCAATGTCCATTCGAAGTCAAAATAGTTCGTTGTTAATCATTTGCTCTTTGACATCGTCCTTGCCTTTTCCCGCCAGAAGAAAGTGTACTCTCTCCCTCATGAAAGATTCCCGACTGTGGAAGCCGCATGCCTCTTGAAGCGCTGCAATGTCCATTCGAAGCAGAAATAGTTCGTTGTTAATCACTTGCTCTTTGACATCGTCCTTCCTGTTTCCCCGCCAGAAGAATGTGTACTCTCTCCCTCATGAAAGATTCCCGACTGTGGAAGCCGCGTGTCTCTTGAACCGCTGCAATGTCCATTCGAAGCCGAAATAGTTCGTTGTTAATCACTTGCTCTTTGACATCGTCATTGCCTTTTCCAGCCAGAAGAAAGTGTACTCTTTCCCTCATGAAAGATTCCCGACTGTGGAAGCCGCATGTCTCTTGAACCGCTGCAATGTCCATTCGAGGCCGAAATAGTTCGTTGTTAATCACTTGCTCTTTGACATCATCCTTGCATTTTCCCCACCAGAAGAAAGTGTACTCTCTCCCTCACTAAACATTCCGGACTGTGGAAGCCACGTGTCTCTTGAAGCGCTGCAATATCCATTCGAAGCCGAAATAGTTCGTTGTTAATCACTTGCTCTTTGACATCGTCCTTGCCTTTTCCCGCCAGAAGAAAGTGTACTCTCTCCCTCATGAAAGATTCCCGACTGTGGAAGCCGCATGTCTCTTGAAGCGCTGCAATGTCCATTCGAAGCCGAAATAGTTCGTTGTTAATCATTTGCTCTTTGACATCGTCCTTGCCTTTTCCCGCCAGAAGAAAGTGTACTCTCTCCCTCACTAAAGATTCCTGACTGTGGAAGCCGCGTGTCCCTTGAAGCGCTGCAATGTCTATTCAAAGCCGAAATAGTTCGTTGTTAATCGCTTGCTCTTTGACATCGTCCATGCCTTTTCCCGCCAGAAGAAAGTGTACTCTCTCCTCACGAAATATTCCCGATTGTGGAAACCGGGTATCTCTTGAAGCGCTGCAATGTCCATTCGAAGCCGAAATAGTTCGTTGTTAATCATTTGCTCTTTGACATCGTCCTTGCCTTTTCCCGCCAGAAGAAAGTGTACTCTCCCCTCATGAAAGATTCCCGACTGTGGAAGCCGCATGTCTCTTGAAGCGCTGCAATGTCCATTCGAAGTCAAAATAGTTCGTTGTTAATCATTTGCTCTTTGACATCGTCCTTGCCTTTTCCCGCCAGAAAAAGTGTACTCTCTCCCTCATGAAAGATTCCCAACTGTGGAAGCCGCATGCCTCTTGAAGCGCTGCAATGTCCATTCGAAGCAGAAATTGTTCGTTGTTAATCACTTGCTCTTTGACATCGTCCTTCCTGTTTCCCCGCCAGAAGAATGTGTACTCTCTCCCTCATGAAAGATTCCCGACTGTGGAAGCCGCGTGTCTCTTGAAGCGCTGCAATGTCCATTCGAAGCCGAAATAGTTCGTTGTTAATCACTTGCTCTTTGACATCGTCATTGCCTTTTCCCGCCAGAAGAAAGTGTACTCTCTCCCTCATGAAAGATTCCCGACTGTGGAAGCCGCATGTCTCTTGAACCGCTGCAATGTCCATTCGAAGCCGAAATAGTTCGTTGTTAATCACTTGCTCTTTGACATCGTTCTTGCCTTTTCCCGCCAGAAGAAAGTGTACTCTCTCCCTCATGAAAGATTCCCGACTGTGGAAGCCGCATGTCTCTTGAACCGCTGCAATGTCCATTCGAAGCCGAAATAGTTCGTTGTTAATCACTTGCTCTTTGACATCGTCCTTGCCTTTTCCCGCCAGAAGAATGTGTACTCTCCCCTCATGAAAGATTCCCGACTGTGGAAGCCGCATGTCTCTTGAACCGCTGCAATGTCCATTCGAAGCCGAAATAGTTCGTTGTTAATCCCTTGCTCTTTGACATTGTCCTTGCCTTTTCCCGCCAGAAGAAAGTGGACTCTCTCCCTCATGAAAGATTCCCGACTGTGGAAGCCGCATGTCTCTTGACGTGCTGCAATGTCCATTCGAAGCCGAAGTAGTTCGTTGTTAATCACTTGCTCTTTGACATCGTCCTTGCCTTTTCCCCCACCAGAAGAAAAAAGTACTCTCTCCCCTCACTAAACATTCCCGACTGTGAAGCCGCATGTCTCTAGAAGCGCAGCAATGTCCATTCGAAGCCGAAGTAGTTCATTGTTAATCACTTGCTCTTTGGCATCGTCCTTGCCTTTTCCCCGCCAGAAGAAAGTGTACGCTCTCCTCACAAAAGATCCCCGACTGTGGAAGCCGCGTGTCTCTTGAAGCGATGCAATGTCCATCCGAAGCCGAAATAGTTCGTTGTTAATCACTTGCTCTTTGACATTGTCCTTGCCTTTTCCCGCCAGAAGAAAGTGTACTCTCTCCCTCACAAAAAGATTCCCGACTGTTGAAACCGCGTGTCTATTGAATCGCTGCAATGTCCATTCGAAGCCAAAATAGTTCGTTGTTAATCACTTGCTCTTTGACATCGTCCTTGCCTTTTTCCCCGACAGAAGAAAGTGTATTCTCTCCCTCACGAAAGATTCCCGACTGTGGAAGCTGCATGTCTCTTGAAGCGCTGCAATGTCCATTCGAAGCCGAAATAGTTCGTTGTTAATCATTTGCTCTATGACATTGTCCTTGTCTTTTCCCCGCCAGAGAAAAGTGTACTCTTTCCCTCACAAAACATTCCCGACTGTGGAAGCCGCGTGTCTCTTGAAGCTCTGCAATCTCCATTCGAAGCCGAAGTAGTTCATTGTTAATCCCGACATCGTCCTTGCCTTTTCCCCGCCAGAAGTAAGTGTCCTCTCCCTCACGAAAAGATTCCCGGACTGTGGAAGCCGCGTGTCTCTTTGAAGCGCTGCAATGTCCATTCGAACCCGAAATAGTTCGTTGTTAATCATTTGCTCTTTGACATCATCCTTGCATTTTCCCGCCAGAAGAAAGTGTACACTCCCCCTCATGAAAGATTCCCGACTGTGGAAGCCGCATGTCTCTTGAAGCGCTGCAATGTCCATTCGAAGTCAAAATAGTTCGTTGTTAATCATTTGCTCTTTGACATCGTCCTTGCCTTTTCCCGCCAGAAGAAAGTGTACTCTCTCCCTCATGAAAGATTCCCCGACTGTGGAAGCCGCGCATGCCTCTTGAAGCGCTGCAATGTCCATTCGAAGCAGAAATAGTTCGTTGTTAATCACTTGCTCTTTGACATCGTCCTTCCTGTTTCCCGCCAGAAGAATGTGTACTCTCTCCCTCATGAAAGATTCCCGACTGTGGAAGCCGCGTGTCTCTTGAACCGCTGCAATGTCCATTCGAAGCCGAAATAGTTCGTTGTTAATCACTTGCTCTTTGACATCGTCATTGCCTTTTCCGCCAGAAGAAAGTGTACTCTTTCCCTCATGAAAGATTCCCGACTGTGGAAGCCGCATGTCTCTTGAACCGCTGCAATGTCCATTCGAGGCCGAAATAGTTCGTTGTTAATCACTTGCTCTTTGACATCATCCTTGCATTTTCCCCACCAGAAGAAAGTGTACTCTCTCCATCACTAAACATTCCGGACTGTGGAAGCCACGTGTCTCTTGAAGCGCTGCAATATCCATTCGAAGCCGAAATAGTTCGTTGTTAATCACTTGCTCTTTGACATCGTCCTTGCCTTTTCCCGCCAGAAGAAAGTGTACTCTCTCCCTCATGAAAGATTCCCCGACTGTGGAAGCCGCATGTCTCTTGAAGCGCTGCAATGTCCATTCGAAGCCGAAATAGTTCGTTGTTAATCATTTGCTCTTTGACATCGTCCTTGCCTTTTCCCGCCAGAAGAAAGTGTACTCTCTCCCTCACTAAAAGATTCCTGACTGTGGAAGCCGCGTGTCTCTTGAAGCGCTGCAATGTCTATTCAAAGCCGAAATAGTTCGTTGTTAATCGCTTGCTCTTTGACATCGTCCATGCCTTTTCCCGCCAGAAGAAAGTGTACTCTCTCCCTCACGAAATATTCCCGATTGTGGAAAACCGCGTGTCTCTTGAAGCGCTGCAATGTCCATTCGAAGCCGAAATAGTTCGTTGTTAATCATTTGCTCTTTGACATCGTCCTTGCCTTTTCCCGCCAGAAGAAAGTGTACTCTCTCCCTCATGAAAGATTCCCGACTGTGGAAGCCGCATGTCTCTTGAAGCGCTGCAATGTCCATTCGAAGTCAAAATAGTTCGTTGTTAATCATTTGCTCTTTGACATCGTCCTTGCCTTTTCCCCGCCAGAAGAAAAGTGTACTCTCTCCTCATGAAAGATTCCCAACTGTGGAAGCCGCATGCCTCTTGAAGCGCTGCAATGTCCATTCGAAGCAGAAATTGTTCGTTGTTAATCACTTGCTCTTTGACATCGTCCTTCCTGTTTCCCCGCCAGAAGAATGTGTACTTCCCCTCATGAAAGATTCCCGACTGTGGAAGCCGCGTGTCTCTTGAAGCGCTGCAATGTCCATTCGAAGCCGAAATAGTTCGTTGTTAATCACTTGCTCTTTGACATCGTCATTGCCTTTTCCGCCAGAAGAAAGTGTACTCTCTCCCTCATGAAAGATTCCCGACTGTGGAAGCCGCATGTCTCTTGAACCGCTGCAATGTCCATTCGAAGCCGAAATAGTTCGTTGTTAATCACTTGCTCTTTGACATCGTTCTTGCCTTTTCCCGCCAGAAGAAAGTGTACTCTCTCCTCATGAAAGATTCCCGACTGTGGAAGCCGCATGTCTCTTGAACCGCTGCAATGTCCATTCGAAGCCGAAATAGTTCGTTGTTAATCACTTGCTCTTTGACATCGTCCTTGCCTTTTCCCGCCAGAAGAATGTGTACTCTCTCCCTCATGAAAGATTCCCCGACTGTGGAAGCCGCATGTCTCTTTGAAGCGCTGCAATGTCCATTCGAAGCCGAAATAGTTCGTTGTTAATCACTTGCTCTTGACATCATCCCTTGCATTTTCCCCACCAGAAGAAAGTGTACTCTCTCCCTCACTAAACATTCCGGACTGTGGAAGCCGCATGTCTCTTGAACCGCTCCCATTCGAAGCCGAAATAGTTCGTTGTTAATCACTTGCTCTTTGACATCGTCCTTGCCTTTTCCCGCCAGAAGAATGTGTACTCTCTCCCTCATGAAAGATTCCCCTCTTTGACTGTGGAAGCCGCATGTCTCTTGAACCGCTGCAATGTCCATTCGAAGCCGAAATAGTTCGTTGTTAATCCCTTGCTCTTTGACATAGTCCTTGCCTTTTCCCGCCAGAAGAAAGTGGACTCTCTCCTCATGAAAGATTCCCGACTGTGGAAGCCGCATGTCTCTTGAAGCGCTGCAATGTCCATTCGAAGCCGAAATAGTTCGTTGTTAATCACTTGCTCTTTGACATCATCCTTGCATTTTCCCCACCAGAAGAAAGTGTACTCTCTCCCTCACTAAACATTCCGGACTGTGGAAGCCACGTGTCTCTTGAAGCGCTGCAATATCCATTCGAAGCCGAAATACTTCATTGTTAATCACTTGCTCTTTAACATCGTCCTTGCCTTTTCCCTGCCAGAAGAAAGTGTACTCTCTCCCTCATGAAAGTTTCCCGACTGTGGAAGCCGCGTGTCTCTTGAAGCGCTGCAATGTCCATTCGAAGCCGAAATAGTTCGTTGTTAATCACTTGCTCTTTGACATCGTCCTTGCCTTTTCCCGCCAGAAGAAAGTGTACTCTCTCCCTCATGAAAGATTCCCGACTGTGGAAGCCGCATGCCTCTTGAAGCGCTGCAATGTCCATTCGAAGCAGAAATAGTTCGTTGTTAATCACTTGCTCTTTGACATCGTCCTTCCTGTTTCCCCGCCAGAAGAATGTGTACTCTCCTCATGAAAGATTCCCGACTGTAGAAGCCGCGTGTCTCTTGAACCGCTGCAATGTCCATTCGAAGCCGAAATAGTTCGTTGTTAATCACTTGCTCTTTGACATCGTCATTGCCTTTTCCCGCCAGAAGAAAGTGTACTCTTTCCCTCATGAAAGATTCCCGACTGTGGAAGCCGCATGTCTCTTTGAACCGCTGCAATGTCCATTCGAGGCCGAAATAGTTCGTTGTTAATCACTTGCTCTTTTGACATCATCCTTGCATTTTCCCCACCAGAAGAAAGTGTACTCTCTCCCTCACTAAACATTCCGGACTGTGGAAGCCACGTGTCTCTTGAAGCGCTGCAATATCCATTCGAAGCCGAAATAGTTCGTTGTTAATCACTTGCTCTTTGACATCGTCCTTGCCTTTTCCCGCCAGAAGAAAGTGTACTCTCTCCCTCAAGAAAGATTCCCGACTGTGGAAGCCGCATGTCTCTTGAAGCGCTGCAATGTCCATTCGAAGCCGAAATAGTTCGTTGTTAATCATTTGCTCTTTGACATCGTCCTTGCCTTTTCCCGCCAGAAGAAAGTGTACTCTCTCCTCACTAAAGATTCCTGACTGTGGAAGCCGCGTGTCTCTTGAAGCGCTGCAATGTCTATTCAAAGCCGAAATAGTTCGTTGTTAATCGCTTGCTCTTTGACATCGTCCATGCCTTTTCCCGCCAGAAGAAAGTGTACTCTCTCCCTCACGAAATATTCCCGATTGTGGAAACCGGGTATCTCTTGAAGCGCTGCAATGTCCATTCGAAGCCGAAATAGTTCGTTGTTAATCATTTGCTCTTTGACATCGTCCTTGCCTTTTCCCGCCAGAAGAAAGTGTACTCTCTCCCTCATGAAAGATTCCCGACTGTGGAAGCCGCATGTCTCTTGAAGCGCTGCAATGTCCATTCGAAGTCAAAATAGTTCGTTGTTAATCATTTGCTCTTTGACATCGTCCTTGCCTTTTCCCGCCAGAAGAAAGTGTACTCTCTCCCTCATGAAAGATTCCCAACTGTGGAAGCCGCATGCCTCTTGAAGCGCTGCAATGTCCATTCGAAGCAGAAATTGTTCGTTGTTAATCACTTGCTCTTTGACATCGTCCTTCCTGTTTCCCCGCCAGAAGAATGTGTACTCTCTCCTCATGAAAGATTCCCGACTGTGGAAGCCGCGTGTCTCTTGAAGCGCTGCAATGTCCATTCGAAGCCGAAATAGTTCGTTGTTAATCACTTGCTCTTTGACATCGTCATTGCCTTTTCCCGCCAGAAGAAAGTGTACTCTCTCCTCATGAAAGATTCCCCGACTGTGGAAGCCGCATGTCTCTTGAACCGCTGCAATGTCCATTCGAAGCCGAAATAGTTCGTTGTTAATCACTTGCTCTTTGACATCGTTCTTGCCTTTTCCCGCCAGAAGAAAGTGTACTCTCTCCCTCATGAAAGATTCCCGACTGTGGAAGCCGCATGTCTCTTGAACCGCTGCAATGTCCATTCAAGCCGAAATAGTTCGTTGTTAATCACTTGCTCTTTGACATCGTCCTTGCCTTTTCCCGCCAGAAGAATGTTTCCCCTCATGAAAGATTCCCGACTGTGGAAGCCGCATGTCTCTTTTGAACCGCTGCAATGTCCATTCGAAGCCGAAATAGTTCGTTGTTAATCCCTTTGCTCTTTGACATCGTCCTTGCCTTTTCCCGCCAGAAGAAAGTGGACTCTCTCCTCATGAAAGATTCCCCGACTGTGGAAGCCGCATGTCTCTTGAAGCGCTGCAATGTCCATTCGAAGCCGAAATAGTTCGTTGTTAATCACTTGCTCTTTGACATCATCCTTGAATTTTCCCCACCAGAAGAAAGTGTACTCTCTCCCTCACTAAACATTCCGGACTGTGGAAGCCACGTGTCTCTTGAAGCGCTGCAATATCCATTCGAAGCCGAAATACTTCATTGTTAATCACTTGCTCTTTAACATCGTCCTTGCCTTTTCCCGCCAGAAGAAAGTGTACTCTTTCCCTCATGAAAGATTCCCGACTGTGGAAGCCGCATGTCTCTTGAACCGCTGCAATGTCCATTCGAGGCCGAAATAGTTCGTTGTTAATCACTTGCTCTTTGACATCATCCTTGCATTTTCCCCACCAGAAGAAAGTGTACTCTCTCCCTCACTAAACATTCCGGACTGTGGAAGCCACGTGTCTCTTGAAGCGCTGCAATATCCATTCGAAGCCGAAATAGTTCGTTGTTAATCACTTGCTCTTTGACATCGTCCTTGCCTTTTCCCCGCCAGAAGAAAGTGTACTCTCTCCCTCATGAAAAGATTCCCGACTGTGGAAGCCGCATGTCTCTTGAAGCGCTGCAATGTCCATTCGAAGCCGAAATAGTTCGTTGTTAATCATTTGCTCTTTGACATCGTCCTTGCCTTTTCCCGCCAGAAGAAAGTGTACTCTCTCCCTCACTAAAGATTCCTGACTGTGGAAGCCGCGTGTCTCTTGAAGCGCTGCAATGTCTATTCAAAGCCGAAATAGTTCGTTGTTAATCGCTTGCTCTTTGACATCGTCCATGCCTTTTCCCGCCAGAAGAAAGTGTACTCTCTCCCTCACGAAATATTCCCGATTGTGGAAACCGGGTATCTCTTGAAGCGCTGCAATGTCCATTCGAAGCCGAAATAGTTCGTTGTTAATCATTTGCTCTTTGACATCGTCCTTGCCTTTTCCCGCCAGAAGAAAGTGTACTCTCTCCCCTCATGAAAGATTCCCGACTGTGGAAGCCGCATGTCTCTTGAAGCGCTGCAATGTCCATTCGAAGTCAAAATAGTTCGTTGTTAATCATTTGCTCTTTGACATCGTCCTTGCCTTTTCCCGCCAGAAGAAAGTGTACTCTCTCCCTCATGAAAGATTCCCAACTGTGGAAGCCGCATGCCTCTTGAAGCGCTGCAATGTCCATTCGAAGCAGAAATTGTTCGTTGTTAATCACTTGCTCTTTGACATCGTCCTTCCTGTTTCCCCGCCAGAAGAATGTGTACTCTCTCCATCATGAAAGATTCCCGACTGTGGAAGCCGCGTGTCGCTTGAAGCGCTGCAATGTCCATTCGAAGCCGAAATAGTTCGTTGTTAATCACTTGCTCTTTGACATCGTCATTGCCTTTTCCCGCCAGAAGAAAGTGTACTCTCTCCCCTCATGAAAGATTCCCGACTGTGGAAGCCGCATGTCTCTTGAACCGCTGCAATGTCCATTCGAAGCCGAAATAGTTCGTTGTTAATCACTTGCTCTTTGACATCGTTCTTGCCTTTTCCCGCCAGAAGAAAGTGTACTCTCTCCCTCATGAAAGATTCCCGACTGTGGAAGCCGCATGTCTCTTGAACCGCTGCAATGTCCATTCGAAGCCGAAATAGTTCGTTGTTAATCACTTGCTCTTTGACATCGTCCTTGCCTTTTCCCGCCAGAAGAATGTGTACTCTCTCCCTCATGAAAGATTCCCGACTGTGGAAGCCGCATGTCTCTTGAACCGCTGCAATGTCCATTCGAAGCCGAAATAGTTCGTTGTTAATCCCTTGCTCTTTGACATTGTCCTTGCCTTTTCCCGCCAGAAGAAAGTGGACTCTCTCCCTCATGAAAGATTCCCGACTGTGGAAGCCGCATGTCTCTTGAAGCGCTGCAATGTCCATTCGAAGCCGAAATAGTTCGTTGTTAATCACTTGCTCTTTGACATCATCCTTGCATTTTCCCCACCAGAAGAAAGTGTACTCTCTCCCTCACTAAACATTCCGGACTGTGGAGACGTGTCTCTTGAAGCGCTGCAATATCCATTCGAAGCCGAAATACTTCATTGTTAATCACTTGCTCTTTAACATCGTCCTTGCCTTTTCCCTGCCAGAAGAAAGTGTACTCTCTCCCTCATGAAAGTTTCCCGACTGTGGAAGCCGCGTGTCTCTTGAAGCGCTGCAATGTCCATTCGAAGCCGAAATAGTTCGTTGTTAATCACTTGCTCTTTGACATCGTCCTTGCCTTTTCCCGCCAGAAGAAAGTGTACTCTCTCCCTCATGAAAGATTCCCGACTGTGGAAGCCGCATGCCTCTTGAAGCGCTGCAATGTCCATTCGAAGCAGAAATAGTTCGTTGTTAATCACTTGCTCTTTGACATCGTCCTTCCTGTTTCCCCGCCAGAAGAATGTGTACTCTCTCCCTCATGAAAGATTCCCGACTGTGGAAGCCGCGTGTCTCTTGAACCGCTGCAATGTCCATTCGAAGCCGAAATAGTTCGTTGTTAATCACTTGCTCTTTGACATCGTCCTTGCCTTTTCCCCGCCAGAAGAAAGTGTACTCTTTCCCTCATGAAAGATTCCCCGACTGTGGAAGCCGCATGTCTCTTGAACCGCTGCAATGTCCATTCGAGGCGGAAATAGTTCGTTGTTAATCACTTGCTCTTTGACATCATCCTTGCATTTTCCCCACCAGAAGAAAGTGTACTCTCTCCCTCACTAAACATTCCGGACTGTGGAAGCCACGTGTCTCTTGAAGCGCTGCAATATCCATTCGAAGCCGAAATAGTTCGTTGTTAATCACTTGCTCTTTGACATCGTCCTTGCCTTTTCCCGCCAGACGAAAGTGTACTCTCTCCCTCATGAAAGATTCCCGACTGTGGAAGCCGCATGTCTCTTGAAGCGCTGCAATGTCCATTCGAAGCCGAAATAGTTCGTTGTTAATCATTTGCTCTTTGACATCGTCCTTGCCTTTTCCCGCCAGAAGAAAGTGTACTCTCTCCCTCACTAAAGATTCCTGACTGTGGAAGCCGCGTGTCTCTTGAAGCGCTGCAATGTCTATTCAAAGCCGAAATAGTTCGTTGTTAATCGCTTGCTCTTTGACATCGTCCATGCCTTTTCCGCCAGAAGAAAGTGTACTCTCCCCTCACAAAATATTCCCGATTGTGGAAACCGGGTATCTCTTGAAGCGCTGCAATGTCCATTCGAAGCCGAAATAGTTCGTTGTTAATCATTTGCTCTTTGACATCGTCCTTGCCTTTTCCCGCCAGAAGAAAGTGTACTCTCTCCCTCATGAAAGATTCCCGACTGTGGAAGCCGCATGTCTCTTGAAGCGCTGCAATGTCCATTCGAAGTCAAAATAGTTCGTTGTTAATCATTTGCTCTTTGACATCGTCCTTGCCTTTTCCCGCCAGAAGAAAGTGTACTCTCTCCCTCATGAAAGATTCCCAACTGTGGAAGCCGCATGCCTCTTGAAGCGCTGCAATGTCCATTCGAAGCAGAAATTGTTCGTTGTTAATCACTTGCTCTTTGACATCGTCCTTCCTGTTTCCCCGCCAGAAGAATGTGTACTCTCTCCCTCATGAAAGATTCCCGACTGTGGAAGCCGCGTGTCTCTTGAAGCGCTGCAATGTCCATTCGAAGCCGAAATAGTTCGTTGTTAATCACTTGCTCTTTGACATCGTCATTGCCTTTTCCCGCCAGAAGAAAGTGTACTCTCTCCCTCATGAAAAGATTCCCGACTGTGGAAGCCGCATGTCTCTTGAACCGCTGCAATGTCCATTCGAAGCCGAAATAGTTCGTTGTTAATCACTTGCTCTTTGACATCGTTCTTGCCTTTTCCCGCCAGAAGAAAGTGTACTCTCTCCCTCATGAAAGATTCCCGACTGTGGAAGCCGCATGTCTCTTGAACCGCTGCAATGTCCATTCGAAGCCGAAATAGTTCGTTGTTAATCACTTGCTCTTTGACATCGTCCTTGCCTTTTCCCGCCAGAAGAATGTGTACTCTCTCCTCATGAAAGATTCCCGACTGTGGAAGCCGCATGTCTCTTGAACCGCTGCAATGTCCATTCGAAGCCGAAATAGTTCGTTGTTAATCCCTTGCTCTTTGACATCGTCCTTGCCTTTTCCCGCCAGAAGAAAGTGGACTCTCTCCCTCATGAAAGATTCCCGACTGTGGAAGCCGCATGTCTCTTGAAGCGCTGCAATGTCCATTCGAAGCCGAAATAGTTCGTTGTTAATCACTTGCTCTTTGACATCATCCTTGAATTTTCCCCACCAGAAGAAAGTGTACTCTCTCCCTCACTAAACATTCCGGACTGTGGAAGCCACGTGTCTCTTGAAGCGCTGCAATATCCATTCGAAGCCGAAATACTTCATTGTTAATCACTTGCTCTTTAACATCGTCCTTGCCTTTTCCCGCCAGAAGAAAGTGTACTCTCTCCCTCATCAAAGTTTCCCGACTGTGGAACCCGCATGTCTCTTGAAGCGCTGCAATGTCCATTCGAAGCCGAAATAGTTCGTTGAGAATCATTTGCTCTTTGACATCGTCCTTCCCGTTTCCCCGCCAGAAGAAAGAGTACTCTCTCCCTCATGAAAGATTCCCGACTGTGGAAGCCGCGTGTCTCTTGAAGCGCTGCAATGTCCATTCGAAGCCGAAATAGTTCGTTGTTAATCACTTGCTCTTTGACATCGTCATTGCCTTTTCCCGCCAGAAGAATGTGTACTCTCCCCCCTCATGAAAGATTCCCGACTGTGGAAGCCGCATGTCTCTTGAAGCGTTGCAATGTCCATTCGAAGCCGAAATAGTTCGTTGTTAATCACTTGCTCTTTGACATCGTCCTTGCCTTTTCCCGCCAGAAGAATGTGTACTCTCTCCCTCATGAAAGATTCCCGACTGTGGAAGCCGCATGTCTCTTGAAGCGTTGCAATGTCCATTCGAAGCCGAAATAGTTCGTTGTTAATCACTTGCTCTTTGACATCGTCCTTGCCTTTTCCCGCCAGAAGAAAGTGTACTCTTTCCCTCATGAAAGATTCCCGACTGTGGAAGCCGCATGTCTCTTGAAGCGCTGCAATGTCCATTCGAAGCCGAAATAGTTCGTTGTTAATCATTTGCTCTTTGACATCGTCCTTGCCTTTTCCCGCCAGAAGAAAGTGTACTCTCTCCCTCATGAAAGATTCCCGACTGTGGAAGCCGCATGTCTCTTGAACCGCTGCAATGTCCATTCGAAGTCAAAATAGTTCGTTGTTAATCATTTGCTCTTTGACATCGTCCTTGCCTTTTCCCGCCAGAAGAAAGTGTACTCTCTCCCTCATGAAAGATTCCCGACTGTGGAAGCCGCATGTCTCTTGAAGCGCTGCAATATACATTCGAAGCCGAAATAGTTCGTTGTTAATCACTTGCTCATTGACATCGTCCTTCCCGTTTCCCCGCCAGAAGAAAGTGTACTCTCTCCCTCATGAAAGATTCCCGACTGTGGAAGCCGCATGTCTCTTGAACCGCTGCAATGTCCATTCGAAGCCGAAATAGTTCGTTGTTAATCACTTGCTCTTTGACATCGTCCTTCCCGTTTCCCCGCCAGAAGAAGTTTACTCTCTCCCTCATGAAAGATTCCCGACTGTGGAAGCCGCATGTCTCTTGAAGCGCTGCAATGTACATTCGAAGCCGAAATAGTTCGTTGTTAATCACTTGCTCATTGACATCGTCCTTCCCGTTTCCCCGCCAGAAGAAAGTGTACTCTCCCTCATGAAAGATTCCCGACTGTGGAAGCCGCATGTCTCTTGAACCGCTGCAATGTCCATTCGAAGCCGAAATAGTTCGTTGTTAATCACTTGCTCTTTGACATCGTCCTTCCCGTTTCCCCGCCAGAAGAAGTTTACTCTCTCCCTCATGAAAGATTCCCGACTGTGGAAGCCGCATGTCTCTTGAAGCGCTGCAATGTCCATTCGAAGCCGAAATAGTTCCTTGTTAATCACTTGCACTTTGACATCGTCCTTGCCTTTTTCCGGCCAGAAGAAAGAGTACTCTCTCCCTCACTATAGATTCCCGACTGTGGAAGTCGCGTGTCTCTTGAAGCGCTGCAATGTCCATTGGAAGCCGAAGTAGTTCGTTAATAATCACTTGCTCTTTGACATCGTCCTTGCCTTTTCCCGCCAAAAGAAAGTGTACTCTCTCCCTCAGGAAAAATTGCCGACTGTGGAAGCCGGGTATCTCTTCAAGCGCTGCAATGTCCATTCGAACCCGAAATAGTTCGTTGTTAATCACTTGCTCTTTGTCAACGTCCTTGCCTTTTTCTCGCCAGAAGAAAATGTACTCTCTCCCTCATGAAAGATTCCCGACTGTGGAAGCCGCATGTCTCTTGAAGCGCTGCAATGTCCATTCGAAGCCGAAATAGTTCGTTGTTAATCACTTGCTCTTTGACATCGTCCTTGCCTTTTCCCGCCAGAAGAATGTGTACTCTCTCCCTCACTAAAAATTCCCGACTGTGGAAGCCGCGTGTCTCTTGAAGCGCTGCAATGTCCATTCGAAGCCGAAATAGTTCGTTGTTAATCACTTGGTCTTTGACATCGTCCTTGTCTTTTCCCCGCCAGAAGAAAGTGTACTCACTCCCTCACAAAACATTCCCGACTGTGGAAGCCGCGTGTCTCTTGAAGCGCTGCAATGTCCATTCGAAGCCGAAATAGTTCGTTGTTAATCACTTGCTCTTTGACAACGTCCTTGCCTTTTCCCCGCCAGAAGAAAGTGTACTCTCTCCCTCATGAATGATTGCCGACTGTGGAAGCCGCATGTCTCTTGAAGCCTTGCAATGTCCATTCGAAGCCGAAATAGTTCGTTGTTAATCACTTGCTCTTTGACATCATTCTTGCCTTTTCCCGCCAGAAGAAAGTGTACTCTCTCCCTCACTAAAGATTCCCGACTGTGGAAGCCCCGTGTCTCTTGAAGCGCTGCAATGTCCATTCGAAGCCGAAATAGTTCGTTGTTAATCACTTGCTCTTTGACATCGTCCTTGCCTTTTCCCGCCAGAAGAAAATGAACTCTCTCCCTCATGAAAGATTCCCGACTGTGGAAGCCGCATATCTTTTGAAACGCTGCAATGTCCATTCGAAGCCGAAATAGTTCGTTGTTAATCATTTGCTCTTTGACATCGTCCTTGCCTTTTCCCGCCAGAAGAAAGTGTACTCACTCCCTCACAAAACATTCCCGACTGTGGAAGCCGCGTGTCTCTTGAAGCGCTGCAATGTCCATTCGAAGCCGAAATAGTTCGTTGTTAATCACTTGCTCTTTGACATCGTCCTTGCATTTTCCCTGCCAGAAGAAAGTGTAGTCTCTCCCTCACTAAAGATTCCCGACTGTAGAAGCCACGTGTCTCTTGAATCTCTGCAATGTCCATTCGAAGCCGAAATAGTTCGTTGTTAATCACTTGCTCTTTGACATCGTCCTTGCATTTTCCCCGCCAGAAGAAAGTGTATTCTCTCCCTCACGAAAGATTCCCGATTGTGGAAGCCGCGTGTCTCTTGAAGCGCTGCAATGTCCATTCGAATCCGAAATAGTTCATTGTTAATCACTGTGCTTTTGCGGTTGTCGTTGATCACGCAACCAGTTGTCATGATCCGGATGTTCCAACATACAATTCTTAGTTTTTTCTCCAGATAAAATTTACAGTTTCTGATGCTGCTTGTGTTTGGGCGTACTTTTTAAAAATAATTCCTCATTTAATTTTGGTAGTGATTTTACCTTGTTTCTGAATACATATGTATTTTGATGATGTTGTGTTTTTGTATTTTTCTGCTTTAAATGCAATTTAATGATTATTAAATCTTTCTCTAAAGGTTGTTGCTCTTACGTAATCTTTTTCTTCTGCGTTTGTGTTGTTTGTTACGGTGTTATTGTCGGAGTTAGCTCCTTAATTCCCAAATTGTCACCAGGGGTCATTCTCCTTATGCTATAAATACTGAGCGACTTCTCCCCTCGTTCCCTTTTTCATTTCTTCATTTCAGCGAACATCTCTACAATGTGAACTCTCGTAAAAGATAGCGTTTCTCACGTGTGGGAAGACGCCATGAACATTATACACACATACACGTACGTACGAACATTCACCATAGAACAGACTCAAACGTCCACACGCACATGCAAATATTATTGTCTATGTCCATTGTAAAATTGTTTTGTTTAATACATATATTTGTTTATATATATATATATATATATATATATATATATATATATATATATATATGTGTGTGTGTGTGTGTGTGTGTGTGTGTAAAAATATATAGAAAATAGGAAAGAACTCGTTAGGTAAATAATCCAAAGTTCTTTAGTATTTTTGTTATTATTTTAAAAAAATAGTACTCGATACAAAAGTAGAGTCTAAATATAATTATTTATTTAAAAATATCATTCCATCGCTACATAAGAGTTCTCATGTTTCAAAACAAGTGCCGAAAATTTCAATATAGTTATTTGAATTAAATTGAATTAAAGTACCAAACTCTGTTCCATCTTCAAGCGAATTTTTTATTGATTCCAAAAAAAAAAAAAAAAAATTCGCTTGAAGATGGAACAGAGTTTGGTATTTTAATTCAATTTAATTCAAATAACTATATTGAAATTTTCGGCACTTGTTTTGAAACATGAGAACTCTTATTTAGCGATGGAATCATATTTTTAATAAATAATATATATATATATATATATATATATATATATATATATAACGACCTTGTTTGTTTTACTTTCATCTTCAGTTGGACTTAATTCAAGTCCGGCCATTTTCTTGTAGTTGGACCTTTTAATATTCTACCAGGATTTACACACGTATTTCTAATACAACAAACACGCAAACACACACGCTCCTCTACATTATATTATGTTGTTGGTTAGGCATCTTTTGTCAGATGGGCAATTGTTTTATTCCGACAATTGCATTTATTGTTGTTGTTTTACTGATTTACGTTGTTGTGACTATTGTTGTCTTTGTTGAGTATTTTTTAAAAATGTGTTTGGTTAGTATTTTCACAGTGTTATTCATGCAGCTGTAACTGATTTTTACTGTATTTTTGTTGCTGATTCTTGATACTTTGTTGTGTTTGGGGAAATGCTTTTCAATTATTTTAAAGAATATTTTGTTTTTATTGTATCATTGTAGGGCGGATTGAACCAGATTATGTTTCTTTTTCTATTGTTTGTTTTGTTTTCGGTTGTATATTCTAGTTTCTTCGAATAACAGCTATTTTTTAATGCTGCTTCATATGGTTTTTGTTCTTGTTATGTTGCTGGAATATGTTGATATTCTTTTGTTTATGGAGATCGGTATGGGCTTGAATGCGTCAGGAGGTCGGTAGGGCGGTTAGAGTTTTTGTTCATGTATATAGGGTTGTTTTTCTACATGGTTTCTATGTGTTGTTTAGATTAAACGCTATATATAAGAAGTTTACTATTTTTAGGTCAGACTTTATGTTTATTTTAAATCCTAATGTGTTGAAAGTTTCTATATGTTTTCTTATATATATATATATATATATATATATATATATATATATGTCAGGAAGCACTTACTAAAAAGAAAAAACAAGACCCCCCCAGAAGTTATCATAAAAACTCATGGAGCATGTCCTTACATTCAACTTCAATGGAGCACACTACCTTCAAATAAGAGGTTGTGCCATGGGCACCATTGCAGCTCCATCATATGCTACAATATTTATGGGAAAATTTGAGGAGACCCATATCTATCCAATCATTGGTAGCGACTGCGTATTCTATGCAAGATATATCGATGATATATTCTTTGTATACACGGGTAGTGATGACAAACTTACCCAATTCCTTATGACCCTAAACACAGTGCACGACTCAATTAGGTTTGACTATAAAAAATCCACAACATCAGTAACATTTTTAGACACCCGCATTTACATAGATGAAAACAGGAAAGTACAAACGACACTACACACTAAAATCACCGACACCCACAACTATCTACACTTTAAGTCTTCCCACCCTAAACACGTCAAAGAGAACCTTCCCTATTCACAAGCACTTAGACTCAGAAGGATATGTTCCAACAATGAAGAATTAAATAAACACATTGAAAATCTGGAGCATCAATTCACAACACGTGGCTATAAACAACACCTAATCAGGGAACAAATAAATAATGCAATTTCCACACCTAGAGAAGACACCCTAATGTACAAGATTAAAAATAAATCTAGCCGCATTCCTCTAGTAACCACTTTCAACCCCACTCTGCCTCCACTATTCCAAATAATCAAACGTCGCTTGCAAATACTACATCTCAAACCAGACCTAAAAAAATTGTTTAAGGAACCCGGCCTTCTTGCATATCGTAGAGCTAAGAACCTAAAAGAAATCATAGGTAGTAACCACATTTCAGGGGACAAGGTAATCCGTAATAAACTAAGAACAAAAACGACAGGATTTTTCCAACCATGTAATAACAAAAGAAGTTTATGTTGCAACCATATTAAAAACACGAATTCATTCACGAGCTCAATCACTAAATCTACTTTCAAAATCTACCACGATTCTAACTGTAGAAGTCATAACATAATTTACCTCCTAGAATGCACACTATGCCAGAAACAATATGTAGGAAAATCTGAATGGCCCTTTCACTACAGAATTAATAATTATCGCAATCGAATTAAGTCGACTCCCCATGAAAAATTATTACCTGTAGAACAACATTTCCGCCTGGAAAAACACGATTTCAAAACCCATGTAAAATTCACGATAATTGAGAGAATAGAAAAGTTCAGAGCAGATAACATTAGAAAGATTTTAGAGTTCCATGAAAATAAGTGGATACAACGTCTAAAAACACAATATCCAGCCGGGCTAAACCATAAATTTAACAATATAGATAGTACTAATATATAACTCAACAAATCAAAACCTACCCACATTTCTCACCCACACAAGACAGACATGCTTACGGAGGTGTTGAGGCCTCACACTTATACACACACACACACGAATATACACACTTACACACATCATACTCACTCACTCCCTAATGAGCCAAATGATAACACCCACCCACAGCAATATACACGCTTACACATATCATACTCACTCACTCCTTAAGAACCAAATAACACACACACAAACACTTAACAGAGACACATCCCCTCTCCAGAACCAATAAAACTGTCAAACTGACCAAGGGAATTCAGAGAAGCATAGATCCATCCAGCTCTTATCTCAAATAACAACTTAAAAGAGACTATTTGACCAACACAAGGAATGTTAAAAGATTCATGTTAAAAAGATAAAAAAAAACTACAGACAAAAGTTCATTTTCTCCATCAAGACATTCATTTCTGTAGTTTACTGCTACCAGCATGCAGAAATATTTCTTCTCCCGATGATGGCCATTTTGGACGAAACTAGTCGATATATATACATATATATATGAGTGAACATTGAAATCAACACTCAGAGGCGAGAGACTGTTTTATGCTAGACGCAATCATCAGGCCGCCTAGTGATTGCGTCTCGCATGAACCTGTTGCCTCTGAGTGTTGACTTCAATGTTCACTTTTATACAGGGGTTGGACAAAATAATTGGAACACTTGTTAAATTCCCAGCAAATTTATTTAATACAGAGCCGGTCCTCCTTTAGCCTCACAGACAGCTTTAATACGTCTAGG